CATTCATCTTCAGTTTGATTTGTCCTGCTAAAAATGTTGCGATGTTCTTGACCCCTTTCAGTTCAATGTTCATATGGTTTGATTTTGTGTCAATTTCTAGGAATTATGCACAGGTTCTGGGTCCTCCCCTCCCACTGCCCAAACAATTTGTCGTAAACACAAGAATATTTTTGTAATGTTCTGAGGCTTGCAGCTCTGTGAACTCGCCTGTGCATGTGGTTTGCCCTAGACACCAGAATGACATGAATCAGTGTAACTCATTTTGGTAAGACTTCCTGACCACAGGAAAAGATTCATACTTTCTCCAGACCATGATGATATTGTGGGGACTGCTCATTAAGATGACTTGCATCCACTTATAATATCAAACTGTTCACATGTGGCAGTTAGTGAGGTGATGTTTAGGCAACGTCCAGCTCTTTGCAAACTGTTTGGAGCCTTGGATTTTAGCTCTTGTTACACAAGAAGTATAAGTGTGCCATGTTTTATTGTCTATTCTGGAAGTTAATGCACTATGCTTTTGAATTGATATTATGCATAAAAGCATATTTTTATAATAAAGCCAAATGCATATTTTGAGAACATTTGGCACCACCCATCCATGTTGCCATTTCCCTGCAATCAGTTGGAATTCCACCCAGCGATTTTGTTGAAATTGGTTAATTTCCTTATTCTGATTTAAGGAGAACATTTTGGATATACTTGGACAAACTCAGGTTGTGACTTGAGTTCATTCTGTCGTCTGTACCATTGCCTCTGTTCCCTCTGAGTTTCCTAGCAATCTTGTGTTTGCTTAGAGGGGAATGGATTTCTCCCAGTAGCAATATATTGTTTTAAGCTACTCCTGTTCTAATGCAAAGTATTCTGCTTCAGAACAGATTTGTTAACTTTGCAGCTGTTTATCCCCAGCCCTGAGGAAGAAAAAGAAATTCCTGGGAAATCTGGAGTTGTTTGTTTTATGCTGTCTGGGGACGAATTATATCTCTCCCTTTCCACTTTTTATGCAATCAGAGGTCACCCAGCCCAAGTTCAACATGTTAACCACATGCTGAATTTTTTTGGCCAGCTTGTTATTCTGTGACCATAAATGAATGACTTGCTACCTAGGGCTGTTCAACAGCCTTGGGGTCTCTTCCCCCACACATGCATGCACACACATGTAGGACATATTAGATATGAATCAATCCAGCAGCCTGTTCCTTGGGAGTGTGACCATGGCAACGCGCATGCTGAATACCTCCACTTCCAAATTTGCCACTGTGCTGCTGGAAAAGGTAGTGTTACCTCTTGCCTGGCTGACTGGCAGAACTGAATGGTTCCTCTTATTAACCAACCTTTTTGTTTGTAAAAAGGGAAGGCAGTGACTGTAACCGCTCCATTGCTGCCCGAGCTGCCCTAGGCCTGTGGTACTTAAGATTATGGCGTCACTGCCATGCAATGGGCAGAACATGATGAATTTTCATTTCTCCCAATGCACAGTGCCCCAAAACAGGACATTCATAATACTTTCCTTGTCTGAGCTTTCCACTTCTATACGTAAAGGTGAAATGGTTTTCTCTCTGAAGAATTAACAGCTAAATTCCAATCATGCCTCAATTTAGTATGTGTTTTTCACTCTGATTTTCTTAGGGAAAGGCTTTGATTGTTGCACTGTAAATTCCTTGTAAACACACTGAGTGCCAGGCTTCATCTTGTTGCAATCGTAGTTCTTCCAGTGGTAATTCCAGAATTGCTTGCAGCTCCTGAATAGGCAGTGGTAAAAAAAGAGAACGGCCTCTAAACCGTATGAACAGGGATTGTGAAGTGCAGATACCCAGCTGGTGTCTTGAAGCACTAAGTATGCAGTTTTTAGATATTACTTGAGGTAATGCCAGGAGCAATTATATAGGGATTGGTCCACTTCTCTCAAAATATAGCAGTCCAGGCAAGAAAGCTCTGACTCTGAAGATGAGGAGCTAGAGGGCTTGCAATGCATTACTGAAAAGCCAAGGTTAATGAACAAGATTAGCCAAATGGCTGATGAGAACCAGTCCAAATTTGGTTTGTGGGGAGACCCTATAAAACAAGGAGGGTTAGTGGGGGAGGGATGGGAATTCATCAGTGCAGTAGTTTGTTTCAAGCCAAATGATCAGACCAATTAAGTAATGTCCAGTGTCCACCCCTCCCCCCCAATTCACACAAACATAGAAACATAGAAACAGAGCGAGTCAGAAGGGGTCTCTCGGGCCATCCAGCTCCGCTCATGACATGCTTACCCTTCTTGAAGGTGGAGCCTGCTCTTTTTGGAGGGAAATGAGAAGGAAGATTAAGTTTTGAATCAACTCTTGACACGAGCCAACTCCACTAATCAGAGGATCACTATTCTGATTGCTGTTATTTTTTAACTGTAGTGAACAGCTCCTCCTGAGTCCCCACCTCCCACAACCCCCCTGGGTGAATCCTCACCCCAAAACTTCCCGATCCTAACCACCAGGAACCAAACAGACTGGATTCAGCACACGTCCATCCAAGTACTTGGGGAAAATAGAAGTTTATTGAACAGAAACACGCAATAGGAGTGGAAGGTTTGAAAAGGTGAACACTCAGCAACACAGATGCACTCACACAAGAAGGAGAGGGGAAGGAAAGGGGAATTGGATAGCAGCATACAGAATACAAAGTGCAAACTCTTTGAACATCTCAGACGTAAATCAACAAAGCTAACTGACCTAGCACTATTACCAGATAGAATACCTAGCAGAGTTTCCTTGTATTGAGGCATGGATGGATAGAGCTTTGGTGGCAACTGGTTTCTTTCCAAAGAGGGAACAACTGCCAGCCAGAGTGTTCTCTTTTCATCCCCTGCAAGCAATCAGAGCCCTTGCTTCCATGGGGTGACATCTCCTGAGCACTCCCAGGTGGGACCCATTGACTTGATGACCCCCACCTCTCCAGTGCCCTTCCCCCAGGAATGTGAGTTGCCTTGTTCTTGGATGATTTACAACTCTTTGTTTTTGCTGTTCCTCCCTCTGCCCAGCCTTGGTGCTGAAGTGGGCTTGAAGCCGCCACCTGGGCTCTGAAGTCCCAAGGGTGGTTTAACTCCTTCCTCACCCCTTGGGACATCACACCCTGTGCACTACATTAACAAGTTTATTATTACTCGCTGTTGCAAAGCCAGTAACTTTGAACTGAGAAAAATAATGCTAGTATTCACATTTTCACAGTGTAATGTTAATCTGTATGCATTTGGTGGATTAATAGAGGCTTCCAATGTTTATTGCTGTTTGGTTCAATTGCTGTATTGCACAGGCATCGCAACAGAAGCATGACAAAGCTGTGATAATAAATATTTGTGGGAAATTGTTACAGCTCTGAGTTCATGCTGAGAAAATTTGCTTCAGAATATTGCTTCATTAGCCGTTGATAGAAACAGCCCTTGGAATGACTGTACAGGGAAAACCCAAGAGTAATTCCATTTCAAGTGAAATCATTAAAGTCACTACTTCTGTTTGTGTGAGTGTGAATTTATTGGGAAATCTGGGAGAAAGATAACAGGAGTCAGGAAGCATTCAGCTAAATAATCTCTGGGGGATGACCAAGCACGTGTTTCTGTTGCCCAATTATAAAAGAGGAGGAAATGGGTGTATCTGATGAAATATAATAGCCAGTTAGTGAGACCCAAGTGTGATTGCCAGAAACAAGGATACGTGTTTCTGTGTGAAGGCTGAACCACTCAGAGAGCTGTAGCCCCTGGTTTTAAGGAGAAGCTAGATGGAGAAGCTAGAAACTTGGTGGAATGGAAAGAACCAAGAGGATACTGTTATCTCTGGATATAAATTTTATAGGAAGGAAGGATGTTGGATGAGATGTTGCTCTGTATGTCAAAGGGATTATAGTGCTGAAGAGATTAGAACATCTAAAAGGGACTTTTCCACATAAGTGCCACAGGTGATAATGCCTGGCTCCAAAATTAATTTAATTCTAGCAGTGTGCTATCACCTCCTAGATCAGATGCTCAGAGTGATCTTGATATAAAAAAACAAAGCGAGGCCTCCAAAGGATTTGTGAGGATCTCCAAGAGGATGTCAGGGAAAACAACCACAGAATGGCAAATATGGTTTAATGCAAGCAAATATGAAGAGATGCACACCGGGCTATAAAATCCCAACATCAAGTATAAGCTAATAGGATCCAAACAAGTGCTGACTGAGCAAGAAATAGAGATTGGTGTTATGTACAGCTCAATGAAAATGTCAGCCCAACTCATGTGTTTCTGGCATGAAGAAGCATAAATTCTCTTTTAGGTAAAACTAGAAATTGTATTTCAAATAAAACTGCCAGTACTGCATTCCCCTTACGCAAATGCATGGTGCAGCACACTTTGAATACAGTGTCTCTCTTCTGGTCGCTGCACCAAAAAAAGGGGTGGGTGGGGAATAAGTGCAGAAAAATGCAATTAACATAATGAAAGGACTGCCATAATCCTTCCTCCAGTGTACGGACGGGATCTGGCAGCTTGGATTGTTCAGTTTACAGGGAAAAAATGGTGAGACATGATGGAAGTGTGCAAATTTCTGCCTGATGTGGTGAAAGTAAACATGGAGACATTTTTATTTGTTATGAAATTCAGGACTGAGAGGGGGAAGTACTTCTTTACACAGCAGTAGTTGTAAACCCACAGAATTCACTTCCACAAGGTGCAGTGTGGCCATCAGTTGGCTTTAAAAGGAGACTGGACAAGCTCTTGGAGGAGAAAAGCTATCAATGGCACCAAGTCTGATGGCGGTATGCTGCCTACTGTAGTGGAGCCAGCCTTCCCATGTTTACCAGGTGCTGGGGAACTTGGGCATGTGGGGCTGTTGTATTCTTGCCCTGCTTGTGGGTCTCATTTTGGCAAGTAGCTGGCCACTGTGTGAACAGGTTGCTGGATGAGATGGACCCTTGGTCTGATCCCCCACAGCTTCTCTTATGCTTTTAATTAGCCTTATAAATCCTTTAGTATGTTTTATTGTCTGTTCTAGGTATTATGTGTCATTGTGCTAACAATAATCTTAGGATGTATATTCGGACTGAAGCCTAGCTGTACAAGAGATGGTAAGTAATGTGTAAGTAAGTAAGTAACCCTAAGTAAATGAGTCACTTGTGATGCACAAGAGGCATCTTGCATTCATTAAGAATGGCAGCCCATTTTGGCTCTGTTTATATCGTACACAACAACTGAACCTGATGAATAACTTGAGTAAGCTCTGAAATGAAACACAGTGTTCCTTCAAAAACAATATTAAAATGCCATGAAATTGCAAGTGATGATCTATATTAGGCATGACTGAGGTCATTCAAACAATTGATTGCTGTATTAGCATCCCTTTGTACATCTAGAATGATTTTACAAATGGTGTCGTAATACTAAAAGAATCTTGTTGCAGGGCAAACCATGAATGCCAGTGCTGACCTTTGGCACTCCATTAAAGAAATCCTAGTTGAGAAGTCAAGTGAGGTATAGGTTTACTGCTCATGTTCACTCAGTGCTTAGGGATAATTTCTACTGATTTCAATAGCACTTACTCTACAGCAAATGTTCCAGTTGGTGTCGAAGGAGTCTTAGGGTTGCCGTTGAGCGCTGTAGTCCTGTGCACGCTTTCCGTTGCACACAGAGTGGCTTGCTTCTGTAAACACATGCAGGGATGTGTCCTGGCCAGCCAACTGCCATGGCAGTCCTTTATACCAGTGAGAGAAAGGAGGAGGAGGAGAAACAGCCATTGCAGTAGGAGCCAGTCCCCGCTGTCAGGGTTGTTGGAGGGCTGTCCCCAGACCTGCATTGGGTAGCCCGGCTCTGGTGGCACCACTGCGCTCATCTCTTAGTGAAGAGTGCCTGTTACTTCATTGCACTCCAGCGTAGGTAGGTCCAGATCATGCTATAACATGCAAGATGGAGGCTCTGTCCCTAACCAAGAGAATATAAACTATTTCAGTGAAAACATGCAAAGGTCGTTGCTATGAGAGAACATTTGGAAGCTGCCGCTGTGACCGTGACTGTCTTCAGCTTGGAAACTGCTGTTTAGATTTCCAAGAAGCCTGTATAGCACCTGGTAAGCATTTCTCCCTCCACCCAGAAACACTCCCTCTGGCTCCCTAAAGTTCCCAGCTGCTCGACTGCGAGAGAGCTAGGAGAAACAAAGCTGCTCCTGTCTAGTACACTCTTTGCTTGAAACACTTTGGATGTTTCTCTGTTGTTGAGAATGTAGCACTGTGGTTATTTCTGTCATTCTATTGAAGTGTTTCGGCACGACAGAGAAGCATCTGGCCTCCAGCATGTTGAAATGGTAGCAGTAAGGATTTTGCTGGAAAGCAAGTCTCTGGGAAACAAAAAGTGATGGTAGGAGGCATGGACTGCAGGGAAGGAGAAGTCAGGGAAGCAAAAAATGCTCCTTTCCCTGCCACCACACCCATTCATTCATTGATTCATTCATTTTTAAAATATTTTTCTAGACCGTCCCATTACTGAATTATCAGGACAGTTTAACAATGCAAAATGTAAGAAAAGAAAAAAATAAAAATAAAACACAGCATCCTAAAATTTAGCAATAGTTCTTTGAAATTCTCTTTTTCTGGCTGCTTCTTCCCAGCTTGGCTTCTCAGATTTGTGCTTGCTGTGATGGAGGGAGGAAGGCAAACTGGGGAGAGGGGGAACAAGAGAAGAAGTAAACATCAATTTTCACCTTCTGCATTTGCAGACTTCTCCCTTCCAAACACAGTCTTTGCACTGGCACTTTTTAGATGAGGGCTCCAGATTGCTCCTATGCCTATCAGCCCTAGCAGTAAAGCCAATGGTGAAGGAGCCAATCACAGTGATGGGAGTTGCAATCCAATAACATATGGAGAGGCACAAGCTGTCAATTTTAAAATGGTGGCCTTGGGCATCTCTCCAAGTGTTGCCATCCACTGCAGGCACCTCCTTCCCTACCACCTCCTTCCCTACCACCTACCATACTTCTGCCCTACCACCTTTCCCCCCACTAAATGCCAGGAAATGTTTAAAGGGGTTAGGTAACCCTTGAACACGCAGCTGGTGATGCTTCTCTGTTGTCTGCTGCAGTTGCCATCCCCTGCTCAAAATCGAAAAGGTGCTTTTGCTTTGATGGCCATGACTGCTTTTGCGGTCCCTGTTCCCCAGAGTGGTGTAGGTTTTTCCCAGGCCCTGGCTGCACTACTCTGGATGGGCAGCAGCAAAAGCATCTCTTGGACAGTGGTGATGAGTGAGAGGTGGTGCCGAGCAGCTGCCGAGAGAGAGAGAGAGAAGGAAAGGAAATCAGAACACTGAAGTGTCCAGAATAGTGCAGCCAGTGGCTTCTCTAGCCAGCCACCATCTCCCACCTCTGTTCAGCAAGCCCATTGAGGTAGGATGGGAGCAGGGAGATCAGCTCACAATCAGGGGCCCCTCAAGCCCAGAGCTAATCTTGATAGTTAGACATGGAAATGAAAAGAAAACCGTTGGCTGGTTTTAAAAAAAGTTCAAGCAAGTGGCTTCTTTGATCTTATGGCCACAGAATTAAATGACTTAGCATTGCATTCCTGTGTCTTTATACATATTACCCAGTTAAGCCCATGTTTAACTAAAAGTGGATTCCCTCTCTCTGTAGCCAACATATGGACCTGCACCAAGTTTCGGTGTGGTGAAAAGAATCGGCCTGAATACCACTGCTCCTGTTCAGATGATTGCGTGGAAAAGAATAATTGCTGTGCCAATTATTACTCAGTTTGCCAAGGTGAAGCAGTATGTTTGTTTTATGCTTGCATCATTAATGCACTGATGGGATGGTCTATTTACTCTGCTCTGTCAAGGAAATTGGTAGTTGCTTGATTTAAAAATTCTTAGAAACTTATCCTTTGCTGGCACTCGAAGGGATCCAGTAGGCATACTCAGAGTAGCAACTATATGTAATATTATTGGTCCAGCAAATGAAGATAAATGGCCTGCATTCAGACTTGTTTTGCTGAGTACAGTTCCATTAAAATCAGTGGGGCAAGTTAGCTGTGACTTAACTTTCAATGGGAATTGAATTCAACTGAGAGAGGCTGTGTTCAGCTCTATGTCGGGCAACCAATATCTGAGTTTGAAAAGCTGTAAAACCTATGAAAATCTCTGCCTAGACACCAGCAGATTTTGCTGGCTTTGCCGTGATGTTACCTGACTGAGGACTCTCACTGACTCCACAGAGGAGACCTGGTAGCTGTGAGTCCTTTTGGTAGCTGGAGTCCTTGCCCGAGGACTCGTGGGCTTTTGATTTTTTTAAAGCCAACTTCTCTCTATTCTGGAGGTTGCCATTCTGCACAGGAGAGTGCTTTCAAAAAACAGAAGTGAAAAGCACTTTCATTCCTGTGCAACTACTTGTATAGCCTTTTGGCTCTCGACATTTCCTAATAAAGACCAGTCAAGCTGTAATGAGATTGTTTTGCTCATGTCTCTTCCCCATTTTTGTACAAAGAGCAGTGTGGGTGCAGCATCTGATTTGTGCATCAAGAGGTGTGGGTGGATGGTGGGAGACAGACCCTTCCTCTTTTCCCATCCCTCCATTATGCCAGCCACTTTCCCCATGGTCTGTCTTACTACCAGCCCCACAGCTGCACTCAGAGAAATGTGGCTTGGACCACTGATCAAGGAGATGGGTCAGCTTTCCAAGACTGTAGCAACAACATGAAAGCAGCCCACTGTTTTAGAATAAACACTTACAAGCAAGGGCTCTGATCCAAGAGGTACTTCAGATATATAAGCCCAGTGGGATTTTTGGTTGCTGATATTTAAATTGCAGATCCCATAATGCACCTCAAACTGTGAAAATCAGTTCAGGATCAAAAATCTCACTGTAATGTGGCAAGGGAAGCTGCTCATTCAAGTAGCAAAAGCCCCCAAATTCCTAGCATCAAAATTCCAAGGATCCTTGACATTGCATCCTAAGTTTAAAAAAAACCCAAACATTATGAGTTTCAGTTTAAGGCAATTAATGTTTTTAACATCTCTCACCAGTTATATTTATCGCATGGTAGCAAATCTATTTTGTTCCTTGCAAAAAACAAACAAAAAAACCTATAAAAACTTTTACTTTTAAATAAGGGAAAACAAGCTGGCTGGAAGAGAAATGTGAAGACATAAATCAACCCCAGTGTCCAGAAGGGTAAGGATATTTAAGCTTAATTTTGCATCTTTTGAAAAAAAAGGGGGGGTGTTGTTCATCATACCAAAGGCTGTAGCAATATAAAAAAAAGGAATAATAGCACAGGATGGTAGCAAAAGATTTTCAAGAAACAGGAAATTAGGCTTGTAGCTAGGAAAAAATTGCAAAGACACTCCACTCCAAATTTCCACATGATTCATGGTCCTGGGTAACCCTTCTCTGAGTGTTGTCTCTCCTGCTGGGAATTGGGAGCTGGCTTATTTAGGAAAGGGCACATTAGGTAAGCATTTGGTAAGTGAGGTCACATCAAGCAAAGTCAGATTGACATCCAGTAAGGTCACAGGCAGGTTCAGGCAGGCCTTTGCGGGATCATGGAAACCTCCTGCTGAGTTCTGCTGACTGTCACTTTCCATTGCAGCAGCGAAGGGTGAGTTCTGCATCTGGCACGAGCCAGATGTTCTGCTGCCCTGTGCGTGTTTGTGCTGAGCCCCACGAGGAACAGCTGAGGTCCCATAGGATGCTGACTTCTAAAGCATGTATTAAAATATCAGGCGGATTGCTAGAAGAATGTCTTAAAACAGTGTGCTCCGTGCGCCCAGGAACATGAGTGTGTTGTGAGATAAACTCATCAAATAATATTAAAGTCTGTTGGGAGCCCAGAATATCAACCCACGGAGAAGGCTGCCTGCTGTGCCTCTGGATGAGTCACAGTTCTTCCTCGACTTCTCCCACCAGCCCCCGTGGTGGACAGGACAGTCTGCTGCTTGTTGTTGACAGGTGTGATTATAGCATGCATCACTATCGGTGCAGAAATCCGGTAGAATACGTCCTCTGATAAGGAGAGTACTGGACATGTTTCCAAGCAGCCTTCCCCAGTAGCACATCGCTGCCTTCCCTCATGGCGTTTGGCAGGAAAAGGTGGGCTCCTGAGTTATCAAGTCAATTCCCCTGCGGGCAGCAGGAGTCCCTCCTGGCCAGTGCGCCTTGCTGCCACAAGCACATGCCGCCCAGCCACTCCCTCTCGCATGTGGCCTCTGTTGTGTGGCTCCCATGAGAGACCAGCAGAACCCACAAGAGCTCAGCAACTACAAGCCTCCAGGTCTGTCGGCAGACGAAGCAGTGGCGCACCCAGCAGGTTGCTCTGCAGAGTCATGCTAGTTGCTCTCCCAAGTTGGGGCTCTTTGCAGAATCGGGGGCAGTGGCAGACCCCCTGGCAGGGCCAGGGGGAGAGTGGCACATTTACCATTTTTCTTGCTCTGCAGATTCAGCACTCATCCCCAGGCGATGGCTGCTTTGGGATTTGGGACATTTGTAGGTGAATTGCAATCCTCACCCAGTATTCTCTCCTCATGGGAAACAAATCCAGTCAGTTATTTATTGATCCTGTTCTTAAAAATCCCCAGTGATAGCAAATCTACTGCAACGTTAAGTAGCATTGCACAGGGTTTTCTGGAATGCAGTCTACGTTCTTTGCATACCAGCTTGGGCCATTGCAGCCTATTTTAGATGAAGAACTAATTCCTAAGTGAAAGGCTTGAGGAGTGCCAGTTCTGTGTTCTCTTTGTGGGACTCTATGTGGCAATTGATGAGCTTGATGAACATCTGAGCCTGTTTCTTGCAGTGGCTGCCTTTGGATTGTACTCATAGTGAGATATTTTAGTTTCTCATGCTGCATGCCTTATTCTGCTCTTTGTAACACGTTTACATTTTTTGGCTCAGTGATCTTTCCTCTACTTGTCTGGCCCTTTCATGGAGTATAATAGGATTGGAATGAAGACCTTGAATTGATCCATTTCACACGCGCGTGCACACACACACACGGACGCACACATTAGTATAGGTGAAATTTGTGCCTGTTCATTTATCTGTGGATACACATCCACATTAGCTCTGTTTGCGTGTTCAAACTAGCATGATTAAAATTATGTGGAGTAGAAGAGCAGGGAAGCTTCATTCCGGCTGTCATTTCCCTGGTGGGAGGGAAAGTCAGAAGGGAACAGTTTCCACTATCTGTGTAAGCACCCCAGTTCTTGTAGAACCCTGTGCAATGTAAACTGTGGGTGGGGTAGACACGCCTCTTCAAACCTGCAGGGGGCATCTTTCTCCATGTGCTTGCAAGCACATGGAGGGAAATGTCTGAGCTGACCTTAAGCTCTTTTTATTTAGTGCTAGTTAATTTGTATCCTGCCTTTCCACCAAAAATGTGTGCTCAAGGCAACTAGGTATAAAATGCAGATTAAAAGCAACACCTCAATTAAAACCCAAATATGAATAAATAAAACCACAAGAATAAAAGACATGAACAGCATCATCAAACTGAACCCCCACTGTTGCCGGCAGTGGACTAGGTTGTATGCCAAAGGCCTACCTAAATGAAAACATACTGCCCAAACAAATGTCTCAGAACTGAATTAATAACTGTCTGATTTCTAATTGCTCAGATTTACACAACCTCCAGTGCTGTTGTTTTCTTTGGATGGATTCAGAGCTGAGTATTTGCACACATGGGGTGGACTTCTTCCTGTTATTAGCAAATTACGTGAGTAGCAACTTTGTCTAAGCAACAGTTTATGAAAATAGTGCTAGATAATTTAAGCAGTTGTCTTCCTCTTCGCATGATGCCGGCCTGGTCCTCCTGAGCTTTCGATAGCTCCTGTAGACTCCTCAGGACCCAAATAAAGGATGGGGCAGGGGGACAGCAGGGGGCAGCTCACAGAAGGAGAGTGAGACTGATGAAGATGCCCTTGGGCTCTGGGAAGTGCTGACATAATAGAGCAGCAACTTCTGTGGTTGGACGGGTCATTTTGCAGCGACCACACTCTCAGCTATGGAAATTTGGCAAGACAACACTCTGGCTCTTAGGAGGTAGTACTGGGAATGAGGGTGGCAGAATGTTAAAAAATAGAATAGAGTTGGACAGATGTACTGTTACATTGAAAATATATATAGTTTTTTAAAAAGCCTGACATGGTTTGTTTATTTGAATGTCTAGCTCTAGAAGGGCTTGGAAAGGGCAGATAGGGAGAAATAAGAAAATGATATCTTGTCACTCTACTGTTTGAGTGTGTGTGTGTGTGTGTATGAATGAATGAATATATGTTGTTATTCCCACTTCTTGAAAGTATAAGTGTTGCTTATTATGTATATCCAGTGGAAATAGTAGAGGCATGTAGTGAAAGGTGAGGTGTCTGCTATTCTAGTTCTATAATCCTGGATGTGCTGCTGAATAAGTCAATTTGGATGCAGAGTTCCCATGCCTTGGAAGATGAGGAAGAGGCTGTCTTTACAGTACTGCCAAAGAGCAAACCCAAATAAATCAATGAATGCTTTTTCAGCTCTTTATACAAATCTCTAAACGTTCAGTGTACTGCTCCAATAATGTATGGCAGTCATAAACTGAATACCAGAAGAGGCAGAACTCAGTTCAAGAGCTTCTTTACTGTGGCAAAACATTAAGGTCAAAAGTTTCTGTATGACATTTCCTCTCTTCGTGTGTATGAGAGCTGCCCGTGGATACCAGTAGCTGCTTGAAGCATCGCTGGGAGGTGGAGAAGACTCCACATGTTCTTCCCGTCTTCCATCCTTTATGTAAAACAGCTTCCCAGGTGGCCGGGGTGATTTGCATGAGGCCAGTACGAAAAAAATGCGTTGTATCACACATGGAGAAGGCTACCTGCACTTTGTGGAGAAAGCTGATTTGCACAGATGCAGCGACTTGTGGAGCTTATTCCAAATGATTATGCTCCCATCCAGTGCTTTTTTTGTTAAAAAAAAAAAAAAAGGTGCTGGAACTCACGTCCCGCCAGCAGTAAGCATACACACCAGTCCCAAGCCAGCAGCTATCTCTCACTATCAGATAGCAGATGCAATAGCAGCCCGCAGGCACTATGTTAATGATGTTTGCTGCTGATCTGCTACGCCAGACAGGCCGTTCAAAATCACTACATAAAATCCATTGGAAGAAAGGTGCTGGAACGCCGTTCCGGTGCGTTCCATGACAAAAAAGGCCCTGCTCCCATCACTTCCCACACTGTAAATGCACAGGAAGAAGTAGCCTTGAGTGGAGTTGCTGAATGTTCATCTGGCCGCATAATTTTCACAGGGTGCAACCGCTAACAAAAATGGCATTGCGCATGTGTAAACTACTCTTATGCAATTGAAGCAGTACTGTGGTTGTGATTAAAGTACATTACACTAGCGCAGGGGTGTCCAACCTGCAACCTACGGGGCACATGTGGCCCAGGATGGCTATGAACGCAGCCCAACACAAAATCATAAACTTACTTAAAACATTATGAGATTTTTTGCGATTTTTTTGGTAACTCGATTGTGCAGTTCTTGAGCGTGGACTTTGTAGATGACAATGTCGTGTCACAGTGTTACGTAAAATAAACATGTGTGCTCTTGTCATTTGTACGCATGCATGGCTTCAGTTTAACTGCTGTGTGCGGCTTCCCGTGTGTTATTTTCCAAGCACAGACAGTCAAATTGACACCATCAGACTTCACATGTGCTCATGGTGACTTGGCAAGTGAAATGCCGCTATTATCAATAATCTTTCAACCCACTGTTGCAAACAGTGTTATACATTTTGACACATTGGCTAAACATAGTCCTGTGAACAGTGAAAAATATGCAGCCTTGCTGTTCGAGTTGATACTAGAATTTGAAATCAGATTTCAAGATTTCTGGAGAAATAATCACTATTTTGGTATATTTGTGACTCCATTTTCAATCGACATATGAGTAAGTATGTTACCTGCCAATTTTCAGGCTGAATGCATGCAGCTGCAATCTGACATTCAACTTAAAGAAAAAATTGATCATGGACTTTTATATGTCCTGTCGTCCCAGAGACAAATATCCCTAGCTTCACAATCACACCTTATTCACGTCTTCACTTTTTGGCAGCACCTACATTTGTGAGCAACTATTTTCAAGAATGAAGCACACTAAGAGTAAGATTAGAACCAGAACATCTGATGACCACCTTGAGGACTCACCTAGAATTGCAACTACAGCCACCAAACCTGATATTGATCCATTAGTTTCTCTTCTATAATGTCAAATACAGTGGTACCTTGGCTCATGTACTTAATCCATTCCACAACTCTGGTAGCGACCTAAATTGGTCATGAGCCAAGCCAAATTTCCCCATAAGGTTCAATGTAAATAAGATTACTCCTTTCTATGACTGGTTTTTTTTTAATCACAAAAATGTGAAGCAAAGTGACAAAGAACAGCAAAGATTGAGGCCTTTGAGGGCATAGATGAGTGCGGTCGCACTCGGGCAGGGAAGATGGGTGCGATCATGGCCATCTCCCCCACCCCCCAAGCACGATCACGGCCATCTCCCCTCTGAGCATGATCACGGCTGCCCCCCTCCATGCACAAACACGACTGCGATCGTGGCCCTAGGCGGGTGCGGCCATCTCCCCCCCCCCCCCCCCAAGCATGGCCGTGATCGCACCTGTGCAAGGAACACGGGCGCGATCACGATCATCACCCGATCCGGAGTTCATGACCTGAGGCAAATTTTTTCTGAAATTTGCGTTCACTACCTGATTTGGTTGTGGACTGAGGCATTCATGAGCCGAGGTACCGCTGTATCCCACTAGTTTAATGTTGCCCTCTTTTATAATAATCAAAAATCAATGAAGTGTTATTATTTAGATATGTTCATTTTCTATATTAGTGATCACAAACCTGGAACTTGCTCGATGATTTTTCGCTCCCTGAACAGAGTGCCACAGAATTAGGATTATGTGAGGTCTTTTTTGCTCATCTGAGGTGGTGGATATCATAGAAATTATCCACAAACTTATTTTTGCTCATCAGCTTTTGTTAGTTTTTGTGTATTTAACGTGGCGCTCAAGGCAAGTTTTTTTCTTCCAATGTGGCCCAGAGAAGCTGAACAGTTGGACACCCCTGTACTAGAACAACATGCTTTATATTGGTGGTTTCACTCCACTGGATATTTTATTTTATTTTATTTATTAAAACATTTCTATGCCGCCCCATTCGCCAAAGCCTTGGGGCGGCTCATAACATAAAAATTAAAATAAGATACCAACAACAATTTAACAATATAAAATAAGTCGCCCTGGCCAGATAAAATAAGCAAATAATATTAACAATTAAAATGATATTTAATTGGATATCACCCCCATGAATATTTGACATGAAAAGTTGTATTATCTGTAACTGTGAAAGTATTAGAAATTTCTAATGCATGTATGTATTTTTTGCTCCTAGGAAAATGTGGGACATACACGCGAGGTCTGAGACCAGTGTATCCATCGAAAACGTTTCCCAATCATTATAGCATTGTCACAGTAAGAGCAATTTGTTTTTCCTCCTGCCCTCTGCACTCCCCTTTCAAGGAATAACACTGTTTTATTCTATTTCAGTTTTAGATCATTTCAAGAGATGACATTAACTGGTATAAGAGAGTCCTGTAATTATACAGTCAACACAGAGAATTTTGGCCATAGTTCCATTGCTTGGCCAATGCGGAAAATGTATGCTGGAAAGATATGTCTGTGGGAAATGCTAGTGCTACAGAGACAACATGAGTAATGGAACTGGGAGAGAGGGAAGGAGGAGCAGAGAAAAGAGGGCGAAATTAGTTGCTATCCTAAGACAGAATTTCTGTGCTGTTTCATGCATGACACCAGTTTTATTTATCCCCCTTCCAGAATAACCCGCTGTTTTCACAACCACAGGATCTGTTCAGCTTTGCAGCCTGCCCACTACAAATCTTACATCCATCCTGTCTGTGTTTCACAAATTGCCAGGCACCTTGTGTTGCCTCATCTGCCCACTAATGGATTTTTTTAAAAAAACAGAATTTAGTTTTACTTGTGCTAATTAGCATTAACATTAATGCACATTGACAGAATCTCACAAATGTGCTTCCATGCTAATGTGCACTTGTGCACATGTGCTAACCAAATTAATTAATTTTTACTAGTGCTAATCGCCCCCAACTTTGAAAAACTGGAAAGGGGAATCCACATGCATCAGAAGAAGGCAGTCAAGATATAATGAATCACTCTTACTTACAGGGCCTCTACGCAGAATCCCATGGCCTAGTAGATAACAAAATGTATGAACCGAAGACAAATGCTTTCTTCACTCTCAGAAATAAAGAGAAGTTTAACCCACAGTGGTACCAAGGACAGCCAGTAAGTGCTCATTTTAATATATACTGTCATGAATAGGTCAATAGTTATTGAAAGAAGTGAAATTTTAAATTTTATAATTTGCTTTAACTTAAAAGTGGAACCTCTTTTAGGTGAATGAAGATTTGTATGAATTTATTATTATGTACGTATAGAGCAACATCCTGTGCTCTCCAGGAGGTAAAGGGAGAGGACCGTGTCCCATGCCTAAACTCTGGCAAAGTGGAAACGGGAGTTGGGAGGTAGGGAAGCGATATGGAAAAGGGCAATGGTTCTGAGAGGGCTATTGGCTGTGTATTCATTACCAGGGTTAAGGATACTCTACTAGTATATACAGGCCTTCCTAAAAAACCTGTGGCCAGGATGGGAGAGTGCCTTTTCTCATCACACTGCCTAGCCACTGAGGGCACCAGCTGCCACGCTCCTGGGGGCTCCACGTGGCCCTAGGCGGGTCCACCAGGAGACCCGTCAATCTAGTGACTCCCTTTCGTTGGAGCCCCTTCCTCCGGAGGTGAGGCAAGTGCCCACCTTGCATTGCTTCTTCCGCCTCATGGAAACACTTTCTTTTCAGGAAGCCTTCCTGATCTAGTCAGCCACAATTTTATTGAAAGGACTTTACTGTATTTGTTTTTAACATGCCATTTGGGGGGGGGTGTCTTTTATCATTCACCATTCTGAAATCTCCATCCTGAACTATGAAGCTGCGTATAACTCTTGTAAATAAAAAATAGCATAGTGATTATGGAAACAGAAGGAGGAAGAACACGGGGGGGGGGGGGGTTGGCAGCAGAGCTGTCAGAAATGTGGCAGTTTGCTGTGGAGGCGAGACCAGGAGGATGCCTGAGGCAGCACGTGGGGCAGTCTGTCCAGAGCTGAGGATCAAGGCGGGTGGGGAACGATCAGGCTTCTGAGTCACTGTGAATGCTGAAATCACGTGGGCGCAGAGCAGTCCTCGAAGGTCCCCAGTGCAGCCTCTGGCATCTCCAGGTAACAAGTTATGTAAAAAAAGACCCCTTGTTAGAACTACTGCGATTGAGGGCTGGATGGGTATGAAGCTTCTTTTGCAGCTGTGGATAGCCTTCAAAATAAGTCTTCCTTTGAACAGCTAAACTATAAATAAGACTTACATTTGCAAGAAGGATGGTACCAAGGTCAAAGGAAAATACTGTCCTACTGACAGTGATAATATTGCATATTTCTGTTATGCTTTAATAACCTGGAAGAAGAAGAAATGTTGCCTGGCAAAAATTCAGGAAAGCATTCAAGCAGCAAATTGTATTCTATCAGATCCATATACAGAAAGAAAGTATAAGTAGGAATTATTTCTCTTTTTGTACAGATTTGGCTGACAGCTATGTATCAAGGACTAAAATCTGCTACATTCTTCTGGCCTGGTTCAGATGTCAAAGTTAATGGAAGTTTTCCAAACATCTACAAATTATACAATGGGTGAGACTTTGTAAATTAGAAAACAGCAATTAATGAAAAAAGAACTAAAGACATTATGTTAGAAGTCTCCACATTCTGTTAGTAGCTGAAGCTACCCTCAGTTCCTTTCTTAATTATCCTCATCAATGGACCCCTGAACCCCTGAAGCTTAATACATAGAAGTAAAACAAGTATTGCACTCTTGATACACAAACAACAGTCTGAGAGGAACTATTTGACATATACAAACAGATAAGCGATACCCGGCCTGTCTGACAATGTTGTCATTGTGTTTTCTGCTTTAGATCAGTATCATTTGAAGAAAGAATAGCAACATTTTTAAGTTGGCTAGAGTTACCAGAAGAGGAACGGTAAATATGACATTTTCAAAGTTATGCTTCTGCTTAGAATAGTAGAAAACCAGAACAATAATGACTACATTGAATATGATATGGTGTAGATACAGGCTTGTTCTTCTGTGTACAGAAGGGTCTCACATTCTGTACAGGTGCCTGCCAGCAGAAGGGAGGAAGCCTTTTCATTTCAGTGATTCCCATTTCCTTTCCCAATAGCATGTGCTGCTTTGGGAAGAGGTTTCGAGGAAGAGTGCATGGTGAAAATTGTTTATACTTCTTCTGCAAGGAAGCATATCCCATGTGCCAAGTTCCTTTTGAGCCATTCCTTTATATCCATCTCTACTTTACATTAATTTGAGTAAAGCCACCAAATTAGGCCTACTTCTGCTAAGAGTCATCATCTCCCTGTGATACGTTTCTTCAGTTTATAACTCTGTTGCAGCAAAACCTGCAAAATGCCCTGTGGTTAAATGAACTGAACACGTAGGTTGTGGCATGGTTTTTCATAGGAAGAGCCCATGGATGCACTGTCCAAAGATAAGGATGTGAGGTTATTGGGTCTTGCCTGTGGCAGTTCATGTCACAAGACAGTTGCTAGGGCGCGTTCCAGCCATAGTTAAGCATGTTTAGGTTCCCTTGATTTAAATGGAAGATACTTGACTGTGTGAGAGTTAATACAGTATAGTGGTTATACTGCTGGACTAAGATCTGAGAGACCTAGGTTCTATTTTCCACTCTGCCACTAAGCTAACTGGGTGACTTTGGGCCAGTCAAACACTCTCACTCAAACATAGCCCACAGGGTTGTTGTGAAGATAAAATGGAGTTCCTTGGGAGGAAAAAAAACAAATGAATGAATGAAATCAGTGGCTCATAGATGCCTGGCTTTGGTTAGATCACACCCTTGCCACATTTACTTGGGAGTAAGGATGTGGAAAAGGCAGGAATCCAGCTCTTTCATTTGCTGGACTTCTTTTCTGTTCTCAACCCTGGCAAGGAAGTGAGCTGAGCTGAGAGTGAGTCCATGAACACTCGGAATTTTTGTGCAAAGTGCATCATTCTTTGTGGATGCTTTTAAATATTCAGAGAGCTTCGAATTTAAGGATATACTTGTAATCCTATAATAACCCTGTAAGGCAGGCCAATATTATAATTATATTGCAGATGAGACTGAAAATGAATGCATCCTATAACAGAGCAAAGTTCAGTGTCTTAAACACCAAAGTGTTAATATCCTATGCTACAAATATAAAGTACATTGCACTGATGTAATTGACCTTTTCTGAAATGCCAGCAGTGCTTTCTTGTGCAAATAGTTTCCTTGATAATACATCATACCAGCAAATGTTATTTGCATTGTTTTAGAGGTTACCTACAGTAGCACAATATAATTTATGTTTGCGGTAGTGTCAAACTGGACATGGCCCATTAGGTGCGGTGCCACAAGGGTGTGCCTTGTGTTGTTCAATGCATAGTTGTTTCTGACAAATTACCTTGCATTTAAATATTTTCATACTTTTCTCAATTTATATGTAAAATATTAAAATTCTGATGCTGTTTGATATAGACCACACTTTTACACTCTGTATTTAGAAGAACCAGATTTCTCGGGTCACAGATATGGACCAGTCAGCAGTGAAGTGAGTAACCTGTTATTACATTTGTTTAGTTTTTAAAATTATATTCCATATTTGGATCGGGATGTGAGCATTTTCAAAGTTTTGTTAGGGTGGAAGTTAACATGTCCTTCATTTTATAAGGGCAATATGTATACAAATGAATATGCATTAGCATAAAGCTTTAGACAGCTTTGGTTCTGTCATGATGTATGGTAAAAAAAATAAAGCACATTTGACCATATTTGTGATGCTTCCTGAAATAGGTGTGTAGATCTCAATTTGTTTCCATGTTTTTTCCCTTGTGGATAGTCTGTTATGTCAGCGCACATATACTCCAATGGTTATGCGGTTAAAAGCCGTTGGATGCTATCGCATTGCAGCTTTAATGAGCTGGGAGCTGCACTGAGAAAAGAAATCATTCCTTCCCCGTTTCACTGATGACAGAAGCCATCCACCAGTGGGTGGTGGAGAATCCTCCTATTAGCATGGATGCTACATGTTAATTTATGCGTGTTCTGCCTTTCTTCTTCTTTTGTCCTGCAGGTCATTCTTGCATTACAAAGAGTGGACAAGGTGGTTGAAATGCTGATGGATGGACTGAAGCAAATGAACTTGCATAATTGCATTAACATTATTCTGCTTTCTGATCATGGTAAGTTTTTTTCAGTTGCTCAAAGTACTTTGGAATAGAGGACTTCAGCGCTATACGTCAAAAGACACTGTGTACCTATTTTACCTTTTCCTCCTAGATGGATTTCTTTTCCTGCAAGGAAAAGGATGGAGAAGCAGTGGGAAAAGAGGGCAGAGTTAAAAAAGAAGATCATGTGCCCCAATCCCCATAACATTCAGAGGATGTGGCAGGGCAAATGCATAGTGAAAAAGCTTCATCTGTATCACTTATGTCTATGGGCCAGATTAAAATACTTTTTTTTCCCAGTAAGTTTCCTGGGGTGACCATGCCCTCCTCCCTGGACCACCAATTCTTTGGTGACTTCCCAGCTTTTACATAGGTTCATGCATCCTAACAGGCTGGGAAGCCTCTCCTTAGTTACAGGCAGTAAGAGCTTTAAACGAAAATAGGCTGTTGTTTTTAGTCCTTTTGATTTTGGCTGTGCCTACCACTGAATTTACCTTGAGAGGCAGTGTGGTGTAATGGTTAAGAGAACTGGACCAGGGCTCAGGTCATCTGAGTTCTAATCCCTGTTCAGCTGTGGAGCCAACTGGGTGACTTTGGGCCAGTCGCAGACTCTCAGCCCAACCTACCTCACAGGGCTGTTGTGAGAATAGGATTGAGAGCAGGAGGAGGAGAATGGTGTAAGTTGCTTTGAGTTCTTAAAAGAAAAAGGCAGGATAGACACCTAATAAACAAACAAACAAAAATAATTGCATACCCTTGACTTACATGCTGGTTGCTTGCTGATAATTATTATATCTTGTAAACTTTGTTTTCTCACTGTTTAGTAACTATAACTATATTTATCAGTGAGCTCCTATTTCTTAAAAAGGTTTATTTCTGCCTGCTCCTGCTCTTTTTTGAAGGGATGGAAACCGCTCACTGCAACAAAGCAGCATACCTGAATGAATACTTGGACAGTGTTGAAGATTTGTTTGTAGTACCTGGTCCTGCGGCTCGCTTGAGACCCCAAAAAGTGCCAGATGAGTATTTCTCTTGTATGTAACAGCTGACTAATTTGCACTACTTGTCTATATATTTTATAGCTTTAACAATTCACCAACTGAGGAATATATCAATCAATGAACAGCAAAATAATCTCCCTGTTTCCTTCCTGGGAACAGTTGACCTTTGGACCCTTTTGACTGAAGAAAGAGCAGGAGAAAAAACAAGACTAAAATAAATACATGATTTTATTTCACTTCCACACCTGAAAATATGTAAATATTTAGTTACGTAATGACACATTTTGGCACCTGACCTTTGCGCTGCGATATGACATCTGATAGGTTAACCCCCCCTTTCCCCCACACAGTTGCACAATTGCTTTGTCAGTGAGCATGCATAACAATGATCTAAACTGTCCGCAACATTTGGCATCAAGGTCAAATGAACCTGCAAAAAGAAATAGGCAGGAAAGGCAGTGCTCAATACATTCCTGCCCGTTTTATTTCGTTTGCAGTTTTTCTCTCTGCCCTACTTCACCCTGCCCGCTTTGTTTTAGTTAACTTTCAAGCATGTTTTACAGAATCCTGATTGAAAATTTCTCTGGTAAGGAATTGCTGATAGAGAATTAGTACGTGGGGAAGTGACATTAATATATGTCACTTTTCTTTTCTGAAAATTATCCCACCAGCACTTTGCACACTGAGCCCCATACCAAATACATTCTTCTGCTCCAGTTGAACTGGAATTCAGTCTGCTTCATCTTATTCATCATCTGTCCTGGGATGTAACTCAGGATACTAGTCTTAAAATATAATCCAGGCACTGTAAAGGTTTTTTTCTTAAAACAATCATCCTCAAGATGCTTCTTTTCAGTAGGTCATTGCTGCAGCCTCCTGAAAACACTCTCTCTCTCTCTCTCTCTCTCTCTCTCTCTCTCTCTCTCTCTCTCTCTCACACACACACACACACACACACACACACACACACACACTTTTTAGAAAGGATGTGTTTGTGTGACAGAAAAATGTACTCAGGATGGAAGGTCAGCAAGAGGAGCTGTTATGATTTGGGATGCCAAAAATGCCCCCACCCATTACAACAGTTTTATGGACCATGATCTCTTAACTTTCTTCCACAGAAATGAATGGCTGTTATTCACTGCTATATTGAAAACAGAATAATACATTTTAAAGCAATTAAACTGTATATGTTTGGCCATGGTCAAGGCCATGGTCTGTCAGTAATACCTTCTTGGTGCAAATCTGGAGTAGTTTTTAGGATACTGAGAGTTATTGTTTCTCCTTTGTATTTACTTATATCTTTCTTCTGGGTCAAGTTCTGTACTGAGCACTCAAAAATCACTGACTACTCAGAAGTGATTTAAATGTAAGACAAGGGAGCTTTTTCAGCCAAGCCGGCTTGGTCCCAGCATGGCTTTGTCTAATTTGCCTTGCACATTCTCAGGCTATGTTGTGCAGTACAGAGTTACCATCAGCGTTGCAAAAATGAGGTTCTAAAGGAAGATTGTGCAATATTTAAATCATAATTGCTTACTAGGAAATCCTTTATTTTCATTTCTCTTTCAACCTTCAGGTAACTAATTATTTCATCTGATCTTCCAGTTGATTACGAAGGCATTGTCAGAAACCTTACAGTAAGTATTGCCAATACTTTCTTGCCTGGTTATGACTTTTAGCTAAAAGATTTAAAAAGAGGTATAGCGTTCACTCTCCCGTTCCCATGGAATATGCTCTGGTGCCTTGTCACACACCTCCAGCAACATGGCAGCCGCTTCCGCATTGCACAGTGCCATCCTTCCGGAAAGCGGTGCTTGCATTTGAAGAAACTGATGCTGGCACCGGTGGTGTGTTGGGAGCAGCCCACATGATCAGGGTTGCCCATCTTAGATCTCATCCCAGAGGCATGAGATGAGATTACGTGGAAGTGGCCCCCGTGTGGTCTGTACTCCATACTCTGTGTGTGCGAGAGAGAGAGGGAGAGAGAGAGAGGTGAGGGACAGAGGGAGTGCACACACAGGTGCAGCTGGCCCCAAAAGCTTTTCAAATGAATTCATTCAAGTTCACCCATATGCTTTGCGCAAGCATGATTTTAGGATGAAACATGGACCTGCATTTCATCATTTCAGTGCTTGGAACCAGATCAGCATTTCAAGCCATACATGAAACACCACTTTCCCAAGCGATTTCATTATGCCAAGAATGACCGGATTGAACGTGTGCTTTTTTATATGGACCAGCAATGGCAACTTGCTCGGTGAGTTAGTGCTTTTTCATCCTGGTTAGAAAAGCTTAACTTTATGAAATCCACTCATATATGAATGTATTGTAGCCTTCCTATACCATAGGGGGTATGTTTCCAGTTTTCTTTTTCATTCCGTTTAGTGGGAGTAATTGCTGTTTGTATTTAGCCTTCCCTTTTACAATAATCCAGATGAGTAGTCTTTTTCCTGGATTTGATTTCTTATTTTAGAATATTTATATTCTGCTCCAATGTTTAAAAAACCTGGAGTGGCTTAAAGCACATTGTATCAGTGTAAATTCACAAAAGCATTCAAACAACTTCTTGGTTAGGAAAAACCATGGTAAACAAGTACATTTTTAATAATTGTCCGAAACACATGGCCATCTGTGCCTGATGTGTTCCAGAGAGTAGGTCCTTCCAAATAGAGGATACCAGCACAGAACAATTCCAGTGTTGAGCTGCTGCCGGATAGGACTCTGCAGGGTCTTGAGCTTGCGTTTCATTAGGGATTGGACAAGAAGTTTGGGCTGGATAGGAAGGGGATGGGAAATCAGTGAAGAGATCTGAGAAGAGGCATCACATGGGCTGAGCAAGTGAATGAGTTTGGGAGAACTGGTTTGGATAGTGGACCAAAATATGAAAAAGGAAAGCCTCAGAAGAGAAGAATGAGCTAGTCATGGTTTTTTGTGTAAAATATTCTGGGAGGCATTGTGAATTATGTATTAATGCCTTGTTTTTGTTTTACAGGATGCCTTCTGAGCTCAAGTATTGCACTGGTGGATTCCATGGCTCAGACAATGTATTTGCAAATATGCAGGTAAGTATGATTTCCTGCTGTGCCCTTCCAAGTGCCCTGAGGAGCCCAAGTAGGTTGTGTTACCTTTGAAGAAGATGCCAAGGTCTAGGATGGTCTTCAGATTTGAGAGATCCATGTTTTTCACTCAGCCAGGGCAGCCTTGGCCACTGGCATTCCTTACCTCCATCTACCTGTTGGGATTCTGTCCCCTTTACTCACGGACATGCCACTTACCTGTATTATGAGGATGGAGAACTTGGTGTGTTCAGTGGCTTCTTTTTCTGTTGTAAGGGATATCCCTCAAGATTTTTCTTTTCAGTGGATCATTGCAGGAAGTTACCTAAGATATATTGATGCATTTTAGAAATGAAATGGTCTTGCTGTTGTAGTACTTCATGCTGTAGGTGAAGAATTCATGCAAGAGGAAATCTCTCCTTAGATAAATAACCGCCTCCCACACAGAAGAGGAGTACATCAGGGACAAGGCTAGACTTGGCAGCAGTGTTTGTTACTGACATGCTGGTTTTTCAAGCACAGAGTTTTCAATAGTCAGGTACCACCTGCATTTTGAGAGATTCACAGGGGAAGGATACTTGAGAGCAAGTGCTTTAAGGTTGTTCGAGAACTGACACATGCTCATTTTAATGAACTGAAGCTGGAAATGTGGCATTTATTTTCCTTTAGATTGCCATGGCTTAACTTTTCGGAGCTGGAGCAGGGATTGGGGTGGGACGGGACGAGGCCAGGTATCCCAAAGCTTACCTTTCTGCACATTTACAGGGCAGATGAGCATCATCCATAGGCTGTAGATCCCATGATTGCATAACAAGTGTGACTTGGCTTCCAAGGTGGCCACTTTCCTCTTCCACTATTCTGATCCCCTTTCCCTTACACCTGCCAATTGTTTCCCAGTTTCTTGGCCTTTGCACCTTTTCCCTGTTAGGATAGATTGATCTCCTCTCTCCCGAGGCTTAGATATTGGAAGCAACTGGTTTTCCACATTGCCCCATTTTGTCTTCAGTTCACTTGCCACCGGGATGGAGCTCCTAATACAGTCTTTGAGATTCGACATCCCTGATTTCCATCTAGACTGTTAGCGCTTGAGCAGCTTCAGGCAAGATCGCAAAGCTCTCCATTAAATCTTGAACCAGTTTCCAGTGCAGATCGCTAATAGTATTTGAAAGCATGATCTTTGGAAAAGGAAACAGCGGAATATCTGCATGTCTGAGGAGTACAACATGCAGATCTTTGGAAGTCAGCAGTGGTTGCAAAAGCAAGATGCTTTTAGATGTGTGGCGGAGAAATACGCTTGCCACAAAAGGTAACAGATGCATTTGACTGGAAGGAAGCCACTTGCTAGTTGCTTATTTTTGTTTTAGCACGACTACAAAATGTTTTGTCTTTCAGGTTTGCTTTTAAAGGTGTTGTTGTGTTGCTCATTATTGTGCTCTGTTTTTATTCTGTAGTAAACCATGAAGTTTATTTAAGATTATGTTTTATCATGCATTTTAGCTGCATTTTGTGATTTTAATGTGTATGTACTCCTCAGAGAGTTTTGGTTGTTAAGACATATGTAAATATAATTAATAGATTTAATGAATAGTCTAGATGCTTATAAAGAGATGGAAAATGGTAAAATTTAAACCACAACTTCAGGAACATTTTCTCATAAATATGCATACATTGTACGCTTTCCAATAGTTCATAGAAAGTAAAAAGTACCTCAAATTGAACATCAACAATCATGTAGGTCCCATGCCATGTCCCACGCCAAACCCTGCCTTTATCTGGCTTTCTTCTGCACAGTTTGATTTAGGTAAATATAGATAAAACTGGAGATAATCTTCTTTAAAGGATCCAGGGCTGCACACAGCTTGGATTAAAACATTTACTTTTGTTTTAGACCATGTTTAATGCAGATAAGAGCAAGACTTGCATGCTGCAAACAGGGTGGGTTTGGCGCTGCCAGGTCCATCGCGCTTGCAGAAATGACTGCTTGCTCAGCAGACTTTGGTCCTTCTAAAAATAACCCTGGAAATGAGCAGGGATATTTGTTTCTGGATCAGATTAAGACAACAGTTCTGTGAGCTCCACCGCCCCATTCCAATAATGGGCATTTCCGCTAGTTTCAGGCTGTTTTTAGAAGCGTCAGAGCTCTGTTGCATAAACAGTTGCTTCAGTGAGTGCATGGAGGCAAGAGGATACTACCCTGGGTGAACACATGGCTTATAGGCTTGCTGGCTCTTAAGCCCCCCTTGGGGCACCCAGAGTGTCTGATAGCTGATCGGGCACTGCGAGTTCTAAGTTGCCTCCACCTTTCTTGGATCTTCTACAGGTATCCTATACGACGCTATGGGAGCACTGCAATCTCATCCTTCCCCACAGTTCATTGTCAGTAGGAGTGCAAACATGGGGGAGCAGGCATCACTCACAGCCCCCCCCCCCCCACCCCCGGATTTGGTCAAGCCGTCTCTGCTGAGACAGTGCTGCCGACGCTCGCCGGCATAGCATGGCTTGGCTCTCTGGCATAGTCAAAGCAAAGTGCGCCCTGTCCAATGCTGCATTGGGAGCCAACTGCACTCTGCTTGGCCTGTGGCGGAGAGGACTGAGCAAGGGACATCACTGCGCTTGCATGGTGGTGGCACCACCAGATGGGGCAGCCATGGGGAAGCCAAGCTGATTGTGGCCCAACACCATGGCTGCCAAAGGAAAAGCTTCTGACACGTGCCCCCAAGTGCCCATTGGGCACTTTAGGATCAGCTGCCAGTGGTGCTTACCTGGCAACAGCTTGGCTGCAAGGGTGAGGGTTTCCCTCAATTTGGGGAGCCAGGCGTTCTCATGTTGCATGAGACCAATCAGTGAACGTGTTTTCTAACTTTCCTGGAAAGACTTCTGGAACAAATCTGAATCCTCTTACCTCAGGTAAGACTGCATCTGTAAGGAAAGGAATTCAGGAAAGGTCTACTGGGGAAAAACGGGATGTTAACATGGAATTTTGCCTTTGTTCCAGACTCTGTTTATTGGCTTTGGACCTGGATTCAAGTTTCAAACTGAAGTTGATCCCTTTGAAAACATTGAAATCTACAATTTAATGTGTGGTATGATTTCTTAAGCTGAAGACCTTTATGAAAAAATAGGCTGAATTTTGGGCTTTAAAGATAGTCTGATTAGCCTGGGATTTTCTATTTTTATCTTGGATACAGGAATCTATTGTCTTTCTCATGCCAGGGCCAGTTTCCAATCCTATCAGAGATGGCGTCCCGGCCCAACTCTAAATCTTTGAGTGGCAACTCTTTCCTGTTTCCCCATCCTTTCTCTTCACCTTCTGGAAAATGAAGTTTTGCCGATCTCTTGCTGGTGGCAGCATCATAGCCTTCATGGGTCCAAGCAATTGCTTAACATGCAGTGATATTATAAGGAAAGTGAGTGCGAAATCCTTTTGATGGCAGGCTGCTCCTGCGAGTTGAGTGATAGTTGAGGCAAAGCTAACAGAGCCATCTAAAAGATAGATGGTCCCAACCTGACCTCTACGTATATGGTAAGACAAAGCCTCTTGAGCAGGGACTAGGATACTATGGCCCATCTAAAATATTGGTTATCATGTGATTGTGTTTGCTCACTGATATCTTTAGAGGAAACTCTGCTCCACATTCTACTTAAATCTAAAATACACTGATAAGCAAACAAGACAGGACTTGGTCAGCACTTAGACTTTGGAACGCCTTTCCTTGAGATGCCCTGCTGGACCCTTTCTTTCTTGCCTTCAGATATCTTGCAAGGCCTATTGTGTTTTGTTTTGCTTTTTAATGATAGATTTCTGCCCTTAATTGTTTTTATTAATGTGGCTTCTCTTGCCATCATTATTTCTATTGTTATACAGAAATGTGTTAGTGGCTGCTGGTTTTGATCTACATTAATATAATGTATTATTCTGCTTATTATGTTTATGAGCTGTTTGGGTGGGCATTTGGCAAAAAGTGTATGGCATAAAATATGAATACAATGAATACAAATATATTTTGAAGACACATCATATTCATAATTATAGTTGCACGTGAAATGAGATGCAAAGTCTAAGTTTGAGCATTTTTGTCTTTGCTTTTTCTACTGTGGTAGATCTGCTTGAGATAACACCAGCCCCTAACAATGGAACTCATGGAAGCCTCAACCACCTTTTAAAGACAGTCAGGTATACCCCAAAGCATCCCAAGGAAGAAAGCATTCCTGCCACTTGCCCTGTTTCGAGGCAGAGAACCTCTGAAGGTGATCGGAGCTGCTTGTGTAGTTCATCAGTAAGTTCACAGATGAACGAAAGTGTTTAGCAACCATTTGCACTCTTGGCTGAAGCCATGTGACACTACATGCTATTTGTCAATGTCACTTGATATTCAGCAATTTCCATGAAAATAATATCCCCCATTTTAAGTGATGCACATATAGCCAAATATGGAGGTGCATTCCCCAAGCTGTGCTTTGCTGAACATTAAAGGTCGGCCTACTTGACTTCATTAAATAAATTATCTATTAAATTGTTGTGGATTCTATTTTCCCCTTCTGCAATCTGAGATCAGAACAAAGTCATACCACAATAGGTGCTAATAGCCACCCTTAGGAGCTTAAGTTTTGTGTATCATAGCTGAGCATAGTTTTATGCCAAAGCTGCCGATCTGAAGATGCCAGAGAAATCCTCCTGAACTGGGCTCTAAGAAATATTTGGGCAACTTGTAAAAACATGCCTCAAACGAGTTGTGAGCCTCCACGTAATTTCCAGTTCAGTGCAAATCCTAGCTGGAAAGGAATTCCCCACTTCCCTCTCTTGCACCTCATCTGCACTGGATTTCCATTTGCTCTCAAACTGCTTTCCTTTTACTTCTTCCAATGGCAATAAACGATTGCAGTGGCTCATGGGGAACGGCAGCAGGCAGGACATGAGCTCCTGGACCCTTTTTTTCCTTAACATGCTCCGGTGTGCTGTGGCGACTGAAAAAAGCTGGGGTGGAGAAGGAAAGAGCAGTCTCTGCTTTCTCCTGCTGGTTCCATCACCATCTGGAACACAGAAAAGCATCTGGATTCTTTCTGATATGGAAGAGCTTAGATGATTTCTGAGTTAAGCCAAGGCAAACAAGGAAGAACTCACTCATCTCAACTAATAATTCGAAAAGAATCTGTAGATAAAGAATCTGTCATTACAGCAAGGCTTTTACAGCATTGAATGGGTTCCTTCTAATGCTCATCCATTTTTCTGTATAGTAAAAACAAAACAAAACATCTCAAACATTTAAATTAGCATAAGAAACTGACATAAGATAAGTGTGCTGGAATTAGATATTCTGTCTGTCTTTCTATGGATAACACTTAATGAGAATGATTCTGCACAAAGTCACTTGTCCTCACCTCTTCTTTTCCCTTATATTTAGAGCTCTTCACAGATTCAACCACAGATAAATTTGACTACTGCAGAAAGTAAGCATTTTAACTGTTTTGAAAAAAGTTGAACATAAGGAGATGTCTCCTGGAAAGATGTATAAACCTTGATTTCCTTTTCCTCTCCTGCTCCAGTAAAGAAGATAGAAAAGCACAGTTTGCCATTTGGAAGGCCCAGAGTCCTCCAGAAGAAGCAGAACTATTGCCTTCTTCACAACCACCATTACGTAAATGGATTTAGCTGGAACATCCAGATGCCTTTGTGGAGTGCATATACAATTAATAAGCATGTGAGTTGGAGAGCAATGAAGGGCCCAGCTTATAAATGGTGGCAAGCTGCAGGAAAGGCAAGAGTAGCAAGCCATGCTTGGGCTCTGTTACTATCGGGGATGAGTGCTAAGGAGCTATGCCTAACAGATGTTGGACAAGGAGGGGTTTTGGCTGTGGTTTAAGTAAGAGAGAAGGGATGTACCACAAAAATGATAGGAGAGAATTCTAAGCATAACAAAGTAAGGATTGAATTAATTTATTTCACTGATCTCTAGACTGTAGAAGGAATTTGTGCATTCAGGATCCTCTGCCCTGCACTGGCAGAGTCTCTCTCCTCTTCTGCAGTGGCCAGATCACCCACAATACCTGCAGAGGGTTCATTTCTGGTGTTTGGAATGCATGGCTCCCGAAGGCAGTTTGCCCCCGACTAGTGAGAGTCACGCATCACCTGAACTATGTCTGAAGCCCTGAAATTATGCATTCCCAAACCAGGGCCATGCAGACTTATGCCTGGTCTGGAGAAAAAATGGTAATTTTTTAGAATGATGCTTTCCTATGTCTAGACAAGTTTTCAAAAGTTATCTGTTCATGGAACATGTCTGTTCAGATACTATAAACTAAATGGACTTCAGCAGTTAAACCGTTCCATAAGTGTAGCCAAATAACAGCGTATTATAATACATAAATAGTGTGGTCTGTGTCTCATAGAATATGTATAATGTGCATGCACACTACCTGATGCTCCTGCTTTGTTAATTAGGGCAACTGGAACACCTCTGCAGAAGCCTCACCAAGCTGTTTCCATGTTGACAACCGTATTCCTTTGAATAGAAGCCAGAGCTGTTTGTTTTACAAAAGCCATCCCCAGCTGCACTATGGATTTCTCTTCCCACCAAGTAATTTCGTTTTCTTTTTCATTCATGAGCAGAGTAATTCAGCAGCAGGCAAAGCAAATATTTGCCCTTCTTGCCTTTATATGCTGTACGCATTTGGAGAGGATCTAAAGACTGCAGAGAAAATGGCTAAATGACTCTTCTAAAGATATCAATAACTAAAATCTTATTAAATATATTGGAGAAATTATGGTTGACATAATTAAAGGCCATTTAGCTTGCTCAACATATATCGGATTTGAAATTCAGGTACAAAAAATTAAATGTCAAAATATATGCACAGAGGTGTCAATGGTAAATGGTTCATGCACATTAGAATGGCTATATTTTCTAACAGGATGCATGGGAAGGGCAATTAGGAAAGCTTTTTTGGAGACTGGTAATTTATTTGTGATGCCTTGCACAGAGGATGGTACTGTGCATGTATTTCGAGATTCAAACTTTGACATCTTCTTTCTCCAGTCCGGCAAGTCAACTCTGGAATGGTCTTGATGATTGGCCCAGATTAAGCGGCATCCCCATGTATGAAAATGTCCCTGACATTTACCAGCCTCTGGGTAAATGCCAGGGACATTTTCCCACACTCCTGGGGAACTTTGGATTGGGCGCTTACAAAGAAGCACTCCAGTGAATTTGCTTCCACTTGATGCTGAAGGCTGAAGTCCTTCAAATTCTAAGGGAGTCCCATTGCAGCCCTATTTCCATCCTGCAGAATGGAATGTCCTTTAAGCCCATGAAAATGAGTGATTTAAGAGCGCCAAGCTTGCAGTCCTAGATGTAGCTGTTCAGATGCAAGTCCTGTGTGTTCAGTGAATCTTGCACTCAGGCAAGCGTGCATAGGATTGCCATCTCAGTCTGCTTTGGACTGTGGTCAATCACAGCACTGAAAGAGGTATTTTAGATGCAACCAAGAGGATTTTACAGTCTTTGTCTTGTTCAACTGCAGACCTTCAGGCCATATCACAAACTGCATTTGAAACTCCTATAGATTTCCAGAGGGGTATGCCATGTGGTAAGAAGGGTTGATATTTGACAAACAAGCCCAAATATCACAGAATTTATTTTGGATTCTGACTATTCTGTGTTTAATAGATTCATTCATACAAAATAGTAGAATGGTCTTTCAGTCATTTCATTCAAATCTTATCTTAAAAGTGCTGCCTGCTTAGGTATAATGTATAAATGGTAATTTATACATGTTATATTTCTAGATCTGATAAAGGATGAAAGAAATAGTAAATATGAAGGACTCTTTTCAAGCAATATTGTGCCAATGTATCCTGCTTTCCAAGGTAAAGGTTAATCACAAGTAAAAGATGCTATGTGAACACGCTCACACTGATGTTTTTGAATTGGGATGTGGGCACTGTACAAGGTAATCTGCAGCTGTCCAAAGTATCCATTCCATGTTTTGTTATAGCTCCATGGCCTGTCATATATCTGTGACCATTCTGGGAGCCACTGATTTGAGTGTCTAAATGTTTATTTCTTAAAGGCTATGGCTCACCTTGGATGATCACAGCTTAAGAAGCTAAGATATAATGAGCTTTTGGGCCATTTACGTCTCCTTTTTACAAGTTGGAATTAAGTCAGGAAGCCTTTAACTAATCCTAACCCTGTCCAGAACTGGGAAACTATGGTTTCCAGATTCAGAATAAGCTAGTAACTTGTACTAACCTCTAGCCATTGCTTGATATCCTGGTTTATGTATTTGGTAATAAATGCTATGTATTTGGTAGTCTTTGTTCTGTTAAAGCTTAGCATTTCCTTGTTAAAATTATCCACTTTTCTTCCAGTGATATGGAACTATTTCAGTAGAGTCTTCCTGCCCAATTACGCTTCAACCAGAAATGGTGTAAATGTGATTACAGGTCCTGTCTTTGATTATGACTATAATGGCCTGTATGATACATCTGCAGAAGTTAAAAGGTAGGCATATGTCACTAATATCTTTAAAAAAATACCTGTAGTTTTATGACACTGGAAACTGAAGCTCTTACTAAACTTATTTTGTGGGACAAAACAGCATTTGAAATACACTTCATTTAGAAGGTTTATGTCCCACTGTCCTACTCCCAATAGAGGGCTTAAGATGACCTACAATTAGGTAGGTTGTTTTGATAAATGGACACTTTCAAATTCACACATAACAACCCATGATGCAACAAGCCATAAACCATGGTTTTTCATCATGTGCAAACTAGGTTGGCTCAATAGGCCACATAGACTTTATTTCCACAGATTATAAACTGACCCATTAGCTCTCAGCAAAAGAGGCCTCCCTAACAATACCATATGAAGTGAAAAGAAGCAATCTGTGTCTAAAAGATGCCTAAACTGATACCCGTGATCATGCGCTAATTTGTGTGCCATTCATTGCATCATCTGAGTTGCTATTACAATCTTTGAGATTTGGGTTGTATCTAGAACATACCTCATCACAGTTCAAAAAATCTCTCACATTAACAGTCAGGCTAACTGGAGAGCTACAAGAGATTTCCTGTTGTAAATCTTTAAGAGGTTAGACTGCATTCTTTATTTCTGGTCAAATGTTCAAGACGTATCCATTTCTGCAAGCCTTCCATCTTAGAGAAGGAAGATACGATGATATATGATATATTCTATGTATTGGTCTTTATTTCTGTGTTGTTATGATTTGTGTACACTGGCTGCCTGGAAGTCTTTAGATTGGGGTGGCCAATTTGTGACTTCCGTATGTTTTGTCCTGCAATACCCATCAGCTGTAGCCAGAATAACCAATAGTATATGTGCACGGGGGCTCTGGACCAATAATTGAAAGGCCACTAGTTGCTTTATATGCAAACAGCTGATAAATATTCACATATAAATAAATACAGGAAATCTGTTTGCTGAAAAATAATAAATCTTTAACCAGCTAGTTCTGCTGAAGTTCTCTAGTTTTAAGGACATTCCATACTCTTGATGTCAGGGAATATGGAAATTTTGCTGTAGGGTTCATTTCAGTAAGGTTTGCACTAAAGGACATCCTAGCAGATTGAATTTAGCGAAACTAAAGTAGCCTTCCCTGGCCTGGTGTAGTCGAACACATCTGGACAACAGCATCCCTAGAGAGCATGGCCCTGCAATTTGGGGATACTGGGAGTTGTAGTCTGGAGGATATCAGGTTGGGGAGGGCACTGAACTAAAACATCTGAAAGTTACACTTCTGGCTTCATTAAATGCTTCTAGATTTCTTTACTCATGCCAATGTGGTTTATTCAATTTTAAAAACTTATACGAATAGTCTAAACTAATGTTTTATATGTATTTTATATTCCAGACTCTCAAATAATTCAGAAGTCCTGCTTCCCACTCACTTTTTCATTATTTTGACAAGTTGTAAAAATGTTTCCCAGACTCCTTTGCACTGTGATGGATCCCTTGATGTTGTATCATTTCTTATACCTCACAGAGAAGACAACAGTGAAAGCTGTGCGGTGGGTAAACTTTTTTTTTCCCCAAACAGAAGATGAGTATGCACTTATTTCAGCATCCCAGTTTTGCATGTGGATTTCTTCTTCACAAGTGCGGTGGATCTCTAATTTTGGTTAGATGCCCATTTCTTGTCCTTATGGATGTAAATATAGACTTGGACACCTGTGTGCAGTACACAATGAAAGCTCTGAAGCTTTCAGAATGGGCCTTCAGTGCTCTGGATAGCTCTTTGCCCCTTCCAGGATTCACAGAAGCTGTGCAAAGTTATGCAAATACACTTTATTCGCATAATTTGTATAGGTCCGTACTTCATTTCTGGACCTGGCATTTTGATTTCATCCAGAGCGGTCCTTGTCATGACTGGTATGTGGGCATGTACATAGAATCAAGGAATCATAGAATAGTAGAGATGGAAGGGGCCATGAAGGCCATCAGGTCCAAGCCCCTGCTGTTGCAGGACACCAATTTACACCATTCAACTCAGGTGGCCGTCCAGTTTCTTTTTGAATGTCTCCAGTGTGGGAGAGCCCACCACCTCTCTAGGCATCACAAGAGCCTCATGGGTACTCAGTGCACCAGAGGATCAGCCCAGGTTTTGAATGCTGTTACCAGAACAGTTCTTTGTACCAACCACAGCGTGCTTGTTTTTCCAGTAGAACCTTGCCTTCTGCAGCTTGGCCTACTCCTCAGGCCTAATAACAGTGGACCATGTATGCTGCTGTAAGGGAGAACGCAAGTGCAAGGTCCTATGGGAGGACAGGAAGGACTCAGCCAGGGTGGCTGACAGCTGAACTACATGCTACACCTGGCTTCCATGTGGGGTGGGGGGCACTGATTTGGGAGGAGTGGGGTGGGGGGCAACTAAGGCCCAGCAGAGCAGGGATTGCATCCTTTCCTCTGAACACAGATGAATGCAGATCATCCCCATATGTGCTGTGGTGATGAAATGCTGTACATCCTCACTGCTGTATTCCTTCTTTGTACATGTCAGAATAGTCCTTGAAGTATATGCCTGCACGGCAGGTTGAAGGGGAGGGCATATGACTCAGTGCCGGAGGCCCTCCTTGCATGCAGAAAGGCCCAGGCTCAGTCCCCAGCATCTGCCAGAAACCCTGGAGTGGCTGCCAGTCTTTGTTGATGGCAACGGGCTAGACAGACCGATGGCCAGCGTCTGCATTTGGCAACGGCCTGTCTCTCGTGTCCTTGGCTCCCTTGCAGACTGCTCATTTCATCATCCCAGTAACGGTATCTCTGCCTCACTGGTTCTAACGTGTGTTTCACTTTTTCAACAGGATGGCCAGACTGAGTCCCTCTGGGTTGAGGAGAGAATGAAGTTTCATACCGCTCGAGTCAGGGATATAGAACTTCTTACTGGCCTTAGCTTTTACCACGACCGAAAACAGCCTGTTGCTAATATTTTACAGCTGAAAACCTATTTGCCAAGTTTCAGCAAGGCCTGATTTTAATTTTTGTACTTTTTTGGGTTTCTGTACAGAAGGAAAGAGACTGCATTACAGGAAGCAAATTAGTATTTTATGCAGATGTCTGAACAAAATAGGATCTGGAAAGCATCTGTGCAACCTTTGTATCTCAGGGACATTTTATGGACCAAGGTTAACAGAGGACAGCAGCCTCTTTCGGCTTCATTAGCCACACAAGTGGCAAAAGTTTTATAGATTAACACCAACCTGCCAGTATTCTATGAACAGAGGAGACACACGTGAGAAAAACAGAATTCCTTTCTGCAAAATTAAAGTATATCCTGAGTTATTTTATTTTGTTTGGTTTTTTTACAAAGTGGATGAATTAACTGGTTTATATATTACAAAAATAAAAAAATACAAATACTACATACAGCCACATTCTGAAGTTGTTTTTCACTTCATACTGTACTCTAATACAGTGGTACCTCGGCTCAGGAACACCTCAGTTCATGACCAAATCGGGCTGCAAACAAAAATTTCATAAAAATTTGACTCGGGTCGCAAACTCCACACTGGGTGGCGACTGTGATCACGGCTGTCTCCCCACCCCCCTGAGTGGGAGATGGCCACGATCGTGCTGGGGTGGTGGGGAGATGGCCAAGATTGTGCCTGTCTTTCCTGCAGGAGTGCAACCACGATCTTGGCCATCTCCCCCCCGAGCACGATCGCGCCCGTCTCCCCCCGCCCCAGTGCGCCAGGATGACGGACATATGCAGGGATGACGGGCACAGCTGCGCTTGTGCTCAGGGTTGGTGGTGGAGATGGCCATAATCTTTGTTGTTCTTTGTCACTTTGCTTCACATTTTTCTGATTAAAAAAATAGTTACAGAATGGATTAACCTTATTTACATTGAACTTATGGGGAAATTTAACTCGGCTCATGAGCATTTTGGGTCACAACCGGAGTCTGGGAACGGATTAAGTTCATGAGACAAGGTACCACTGTACATACATTCCATAGTGAATACCTTGATTTATATTTAGATTACTGTGCTGCATGTGTTGCAGCTGTCTGAGCACTGTAGAGTTGAAGCCAGCTACTGGAGGACTTCTATTTACTTCTTGCGCTATAAGTGGCTCCAGGCTAGAAGTTGGTAACTCCTTGTGTAGAGTTCCTGCTGCCCTCTAGTGGGAATCACTGTTATATACCTCCTCTCCAAATCAGCAGATACTATTCTTCAAAGGCAGTACATGTTAATAAAAAATGAAACCACCTGAATATTTGTTAACCACCATTTGTTATTTCCCCCAAATTAACCCTAGCTCTGATGATTATGGTTGTCACTGTGCTAGCTGGTGGTCCCCGCTCTCCCAACCCAAGCTAAAGCACAAAATACATCAGAGGCAACTGGTCTGGTATAAACCTCTTCCTGAGACAACTCAGCCGTATGTGTTATTCATTGGCTTCTCTGCCAGAACATGGGTTCTTCTGCGACTGTTAACATGCCTTGTAGCTCTTAAAAGATGGGAAATCCCATCCCTCTGAGGGACAGGTCAGTTGGCTGCTACTTCATTCAGAACTCCCGTCCTTGCCTTGTAGGGTTCCTGTGCACACACAGAGAGTGCCCAGCATGTTGTGAAAGCATTCAGCCATAAGCGCTCTGCAGACAGGCCTAGGCAAAATCCAGTGCCGTGAGAGTGGATGCCAGTTCATAAGATTCTCAGAATCTGTTGAACTGAACCGGACATCTCTAGTCCAGCATTCTGTTTACACAGAGGCCAACCAGCTGCCCACAGGATCCCCGAAACAGGACATGAGTACCCATGTTCCCCAGCAACTGGAATTCTTTTCATTGAAGACCTTTATCCACACACAAGGCAATGGGTTGTTCTACAGAACTGTTAGGAGGCCTCCTTTGTCCCAACCCCAAACATGTTCTGCCTTTCATTAAGAGGAGGGAAAATCAGGATCACATTGGCCAAAGTCATTCTCTGATACCAGTGTACCTCTCAACCTTGCCTTTCAAGGGATATGTGTTAAATGAAACCCAGGCAGGGAGATTCTAAGTGCATCAGCTTTCCAAGCCAGCAAGGGTCCAAGCATGGTGTGGGTCCAGGTTGTCACAGAAAGCCCACCTTGCCAATGTTAATAACCAGCAATCACAGTCTTGCTTTTCCTTCTATGTGTTGGTTATACGTGTGATAATACGTGTTGATTATATGTGCGAACAGCTTTATTATGTAGGTATCATGCTTTAAAGAGGCCTGGTGAAATTTAGGTGGCCATTTGGGATCTTTCCAAATACTACTAGTGAACACAAAGACTCTCTGGGCAACCAGCCAGCAACAGTGGCCCCCATGTTCTGCCAGATGTTAACATAGCAACTGTTAACTCTGCAGCACATGCTTTGTGCTGGGCCCAAAACATTCACACTCATGTATTTGACTGTGATAGGAGCATAGGAAACTGCCTTTTATGGTGTCAGACCACGGGGCCATCTTTCCCACTGTTTTCAAACTGACTAGCAATGGCCCTGCAGAGTTTCAAATGGAGGTTCTTGGACTCCTTCCTGGAGATGCCAGTGATGTGTGGCACCCCAGAGCCTTGGCTCCTCCCAGGTGTGCTGGCCCAACAGCCTCTTAATACTTGTGCCATCTTTTGTGATGCCGCATTAACGCATCATGCACACCTCAGTCTGAATATGTGTACCTGGACTTGCTGCTGCAACTGCATTCCCTGGTACAGCAGCTCAGCAAGTTCAGACCTTCCCCTTCAGAATGCATAAAGCAACTTTTCCTGTTTGTCTCCATTGCTACAATTTTAAGTACTGTCAAGGGATTGTCTTTATATGCTCACATCTTATCTGATGCAGAATGTCTGCATTTTGAATTTGGATGTTGGGCTGAGTATAAATGTATCCTAAGACGTGGTCCTAAATCATGGGACTCTCTATGGGCAGTATCCAGTCTGACATTGGCACTAATGTAATTTACATTGCATTCATGTTAATGACCTTGAACGCAATGCTGATGTGATACTTGCTGAATTTTCTGAAAAACTTGTGCCAGCAAGCACTACCGGCATTGTGCTAAAGATTGACGGAGCCGGTCAAATGAAATATATGCTGGCAAAGTTACATTGGATATGTGCACAGCTATCAAGATGTTCCCACACATGCAGAATAGCAGCTCAAGATGGCTCGTGACAGCTTTCTAGCAGCTCTGCTAGAGCAATTTTGACAAAAATAAAAGTGGCAATGGCATTTCTATTCTAGTCAACTCCCTCTCTGGGTGCTGAATGAATTCTGGTGGCAAGGTATTATTTATTTCAATGCAAAATAAAACACAATTAAAAAGTACTCATTACTGATGACATAGGAAGGCTGGGAAAACACTTGGAACAATGGAAAGCAGGCAGCCGGTGTGGTGTAGTGGTTAGAATGCTGGATTGTCCCAGATTCTAGTCCTTGCTCAGCCATGAAGCTCCCGTTGGGCCAGTCACTGGCCCAGCCTACCTCACAGGATTGTTGTTGTGAGGATAAAATGGAGAGGAGGAGAACCTTGTTAGCTGCCTTAGGTTACTTGCAGGGGGAAGAATAGCAGGGTATACATATAATCTAATATAAGAACAAGAACAAACTATTCAGTTCTAGGAATGGTGGAACAGCAGAGTGATGAATGCCCTGACACAAACTGGAATTTTAAGTATAATGCAAGAAAAGCATGAAGTTTATATATTCTGTTATCACTGAAAATATTATAATTAAATGGATTCCCTTTGTCTTGAATTTGACTCCTGATAACCCTATAGAGGGAATAAACTGCATTGAGGTGGCAAGAAACAAGCTGTGCAAACTTGTTCTTTAGCCTTTTTTTTTAATTTTGAGGCTGACTCTGTGTGAAACTCTGTTGTAGCCCCAAATGTGTATGAATACTCCTATACCTACATATTAATGCATCATACACATACTTGGGGATAATAAGAGTCATCGATGTGGGCATCTGCTTTTTGTTTTTTCTTAGATGATAGTAACTATTGACAAGGGAGTCATTTCTTTTGGTTCAGCAACTACACACTCATAAGTTATATGGAGTGAAGCAGTTCCAGTCTTCAGTTTTATGCTGATCATCAAGCAGAGGCTCACTAAGACCAAGCAAGGAACACAACCTGCCTTAAGCACTAGCCTGTTAAGTCAGCTCTTGCTCCAAATGCTCATCCATAACAATGGTCTTTGTATATTCTTCAAAGTACCGTATATGATACAATGTGATACAGGAGCAGATGCTGAAATGAAGATCCAGGTCTCCTGGAACAGAACTGATTCTGTACATAGCGGAAGCCGTGATGATGATGGGCCAGAATTGTTCAGCTGATCATCACTGCTGCGATCTTTAGTCTTCAACCAGCATACCTGCTTCGCGGCTTTCAGTGGCAATCAAGCACTGTGCAAGCCGGCTTTCCCCAGCCGGTGTCCTCCATGAGCGATGCACTTCAGCTCTCAAACCCCTCAGCATTCCTGGCTATTGAGCATGGCTATATTCCTATTGCAGAAGATAATATGCAACCAGATGGGGACCCTGATAGTATGCAAGGCACTCCTGCCTCTTTCCGGATGTCTCTTGAGGTGAGATCACCTATTTGGGAAGCAAGAAGATCAAACTGAAGGCCATCTTCCTTCTCTGAGGTCAAAAAGGAGCAGGAGAAAAATGAACTGTACTGGCAAAGGAGGAAGCCCAGGGAGTCCTGACTTAGGCTATGAAGAGCTCTTTATTGTCCAAAAACTGCTCAGAAGTACAGCTGCCAGAATGGCTTTTTAAAAGTACTACTGAAGCTGCTATTTCAGCTCCTTAACAATAATTAATGATAGCTATGGGTCTGTCACCAACACTTTAGAGAAGTGGTAGGAGGTGTATTTAAGGCAGAGCCAGGGAATTTGTGACCCTCATATGTTCTTGTACTCCAACTTCCATCATCCTGCCCATTAGCCTTGCTCGTTTTGGGTGCAGGGAGTTACCTTCTCAGGAACAGAACTTATTCATAACCCAGGGACTGCCTGTAGTGCAAGGACCGCAAGCCGAACCCACAAGAATTCCTCTGAAATTTCCTTTGCTTACAATTCCTTTTCAAGATTGATTTCTTTGCTATCAGATAGAATGAAAATGAGAATAACGGGGAAGAAACTTTTGGCACAGTATGAGACAAAAGTCCCCGTCTTTGCACTCTGCCCTCCTGCCCAGCAGTCCCAGAATGCAAATCTGCTGGATAGGACAGGAGGAAAAAGCGGCTTCAAATTTTCTGCGGGCGACTGTTCTGCGCCTCCGCCACAGGGTGGCAGCGTGGCCTAATTATTCAGATTTTCTGTGGCGGCTGGAGAGCAGCGTTTCTCAAGGCCAGGAAGAGGAAATTTGCATATTGAACTTGGAAT